GGGCAGTAAAACTAATTTAGGGCCTTTTCCACCTTACACATTCTGTGATTTCTCAACAGCTGGAAGAAGAGTGTGAAACTTTTGAGCTGAGCAAAGAATATGAAGAACTAATAAAGCTAAAAAGAAGTGGTTCTATTCAGGCAAAGAACTTAAAAAGCAAGTTTGAAAAAATAGGACAGTTGTCTCAAGAAGAAATACAGAAGAAGATTGAAGAAGAGCGAGCAAAGAGGAGAGCAATGGATGAAGAAATAAGAGAAAGAGAAGCTGAAAAATTCCAGGAGGTAAGTTCATTGTGTGTATGTTAATGATATAATTAGCCAGCACATTAATGATCCAGGAGGGGACTATGCTGCTGCTTTCATCAAATTTTGGTGTATTTCTAAAATGATGTTTTCCCTTCTTTCCTGTTCCCTCCTTGGATGTTGAGGATCTCTCACCCAGCATCCCCAAAGGAAACAGCACCTGGGCAAGCAGAGAGATATTTTTCTGCTCCAAGTCCTCAGTTCAGCATCTTAACCTGAGACCTGCCAGCCTGAGGGTTTAAAACATTCCTGTCTGAGAATTATCCATTAGCACTTGAATTGCTTCTCCTGCTGAACTCAATTCATTCTCCACTGTATGAATTAAATCCAAACCACACCCAACCCAAACAAAACCACTTGAAGTCTTTTTATCAGGTTCACTCACTCCTCAGGGTAGAGCAGAGGAGGATGCCCACCTATCTATAGCTCAGACTGGAACCTCACACTTTTCAGAGGGGAAAAAACAAGGATTGGAGCCATCAGTCTGCACAATCCACACAAGGGTCTGGGACCCACCAGCCCAGTGGGAGCTTTGGTGCCATAATTCTGTGGCAGTGCCCAATCCTGTGACAGCAGCAATCCTGTCCTGGGCTCCTCTGCACAGCACTCACTCACTCCTGGGGCAGCTCAAAGCCTGGCTTTTAGTTCTGAACTTTTAAATTAATGATTGACACTAATTGTTTCTGTAAGATCAACCTTAGGGGTTGAACCTAGGCTACCACCATGGCATAAAACTCAAGTCACTGAGGATTCACCACTGGCACAAAGTATTAAATTTCTATATGAATAACACTTCAGGAGTATTTTCTACCTATCATTTTTAAAATTACTTTTGCAAGTATTTTGCCCTATCCTGGGATAAACTATTACAAGACTTGATTTTAGACCCCACATTTAACAAACCTGAGAAAAAAAGCAGGATTTTGTGTGGCTTTTCTCAGTTAAAAAGAACTGTGGGAACATAAAAAATTAGTTTTACCATCGTACACATATCAAAGATAATAAATAAGTCCTGTTTTGAACGTTTTCTTCCCAAGGAGGACGATGTAGATGTGAGACCAGCCAAGAAATCCGAGGCTCCCTTTACTCACAAGGTGAACATGAAGGCCCGTTTTGAGCAAATGGCGAGAGCCCGGGAGGAGGAGGAGCAGAGGAGGATCGAGGAGCAGAAATTCCTGCGCATGCAGTTTGAGCAGAAAGAGATCGATGCAGCCCTACAGAAGGTATAAATCTTAAAGCCTCATTCCTCAGTCCTAAGTGTCATTTAACTTTGCTTCTCATTACCACTGATGACAACACTACCAGAGACACAAAAGGAACCTTTCACTTGTTTTAGCAGCTGCTGGGAATTGCTGAGGTAACATGAATAATGTAAAAATTGCATTTGGTGTTTACCCTTCATGGAATTAAATGGTTTGGGTTGGAAGGGACCTTAAAGATCATGTATTTCTGACCCCCTGACATGGGCAGGGACACCTCTCAGCAGACCAGGTTGCTCCAAGCCCCATCCAGCCTGGCCTGGAATATTTCCAGAAGAGTACAAGACACTGCTAGGAAAGGTCATGGCATCCCTTGAACAGTCTGAAAATGGAATCTACACTTGTGCCTGTATTTTACACCAAGATCCCAGCCTTATTAAAATGCATTTTACTGCCTGTTGCATTCCCAGATTCAGGGCATATGTGACCTAGTGAGGACAGGTGTGGCATTTCCCCTTCTCACAAGCACCATAACTTGTCTGTGATCAGAGATGCATCACTGGCAGTCACACTGCTATTGCCACTTTAAATGTTCTAAGTCGACTTATTTCAAAACAGAAAAGAGAAGAGGAAGAAGAAGAAGAGGGAAGCATCCTTAATGGTTCTACTTGTGAAGATGAGGAGGATCAAGCTCGATCTGGAGCTCCCTGGTTCAAGAAGTCACTGAAAAACACCTCAGTTGTTGATGGCGAGCCAGTGAGATTCACAGTTAAAATCACTGGAGAACCCAAACCTGAAGTTACGTGGTGGTTTGAGGGGGAGATGTTGCAGGACTCTGAGGACTATCAGTACATTGAAAGAGGAGAAACCTATTGCCTTTACTTGCCAGAAACCTTCCCAGAAGATGAAGGGGAATATATGTGTAAAGCAGTCAACAACAGAGGCTCAGCTGCCAGCACCTGCATTCTCACCATTGAAAGTAAGAGTTAGCATTTTAATCTGCCTAATTGTCACTCTTCTTTGCATCTTTCCTGTTACCAAAACCTAATTACCTTTCTCTCTTAACCCTTCTTGTATTTTCTAGCTGATGACTACTAATGCTCTACCTTAGCTGGAATCTTTCTTCCCCTCAACTTTCTTACTGCATCATCTCTTTCTCTGATGGGGCCAACTAAAGAAAGCAAGGATATGCATTAATTTGTCATTCCTGCATCAGAATAACCTTCGAATTATGAGTGTGTCTGGATTCCCTACTCGAGGCAAAAATCAGTACTAAAGGCTAAAAAAAAAAAAAGAATCAATGTATGAAAGATCAACAAAGGAAAAAGCTGAATTAAAATAGTGCTCCCCCATTCCAAGACCAACTGCTGCATAACAGAATAAAGCTGAATACACAACCTGGAAACCTGTGTCGTGGTGTCAGTCTGTTGGTACACTTTGCATGAGCACTGAATATTTAGGCTGTTTAACTTAATCCCAGAGGCACTGAACTGGCAAAAGGAAATACCTATTGATGATGTTCAGAAACCCAAGTGTACTGTTTTTAAAGAATAAAAGATTACCTAACTGCTCACCACTGCTGCCTTTTTCCAAAGAGCATTCATTACTTCTTGCTTTAAAATGGGCTTGCATTTAAACTGTTGTGCTCTGACCAACCCATGCAGATGATAATCCTAAAGGAAAACCATCTCCCTTAGGCTTGTAGTGCTCTTCATAATACCAACACTATCTTGGAAAACTTCTGATTTTTTCACTGATTAACTGATGCAGGGACAGTTGGTGACAATTATGATTGGTTCATATTTTAAGTTTAAAAGAAACAAGCTCTAAGAAAAAAAGTTTTCAGAAAGTGCCTGTTTTCTTCATCTTAATGCAATAAATTTATTGCCCCATCTCTAAACATTGTCTTAAGGCTACTGGACTATTTTTCTCTAAGGCCTCTTGACATCAACATTGATGTCACTGTGCCAACACCATCTGAACCAGATTCAGCTTCTTTAGGAGTAACTTTACAAAAAAATAGTCACATTTTAAATGAAAGAACACGTGTACAGGCCTGGACATAAGGACAAGGTAAGCTGCAGTAAATTAAAGTTCTGCAGTCATTTCAAAAAGAAATATCCCTGTGGCAGAACCTGCTGCTCTTTGTCCAGTTCCCTACTGGAATTCACTCTTCTGCCTCCAGAAAAAACGGTAACGAGCTGCACTAATTGATGTTTTCAATTAGTACTTCCCCTAATAGCCATATAAACAGATTCTCCTTCATTTCATGTGGGTGATGCTAATTCACAGAAGTACTACTTGCTGCAGTATTTTTCCTCTGAAGCTGTTATTTCAAACTAACAGAGGCAGGGACAGGAGCATAAAAAAGACAAAACCATTGCTATTATTATCCATCAGTTTACATTTATTGAGAAAAACCATACAAAAACCATTATACAGTTAATGTGTACCCATATTACATACAATGTCAATGCAAGCTCAAAACCACATTTTTGTAAAGCATTCAATTTACCTCAAGTCCAAGCTGCATCTCCCTAAGACACTGTTCCCATCACAGTTGCCTTTTAAAGCCAATCTTCTTTTTACACACGGGTAGTTTCTGCAGAGAACACTTTTCTCAGGACGAAAAGGCATTTCACATGCACGCAAGAGAAATATTTGTGCACACATGAGAGTTTCACAAGCTATTACTAGGGAAGAGGGAATCCTGGCAATTGTATGCTTTCTGAAAAGCCCAGTCCTCCCTTCCTCCCCCCACTTCCAGAAAAAAAGCAAAATAAAAAAGCTTTTAGCATGCAATGGAAAACTTAAGAATTACTCTGGAAGAGAACAGGGGAGAAACAGTTTCTACCATCCAATAAAATACCACCAGAAAAAGATGAAATATCTCAAGATTAGGCTGTGCAAGTGAATCATGATCCTGTCTGCCTGGACAAGTGAAGGAGATGGCTTATGATCAAGCTACACTGAAAATAAGCTACCTTATATTTTGGTTTCTGTCCTAATGAAGTACAGGCTGCAGGGAGCGATACAAAAATGCTTTTCCTACTTGGAAAATTATGCTTGCTTTGTCAGCTTTGCACACTTCACATTCTACTCTATTTGTGGGACACTAAAGGGTGGGGCTGGGCTAAGTGGGGAACATTTCCAGACACCTTTTGGACAAGTTCACTGCGTTTCTAAGGAAGGCCAGTTCTCTCTCTGGCTACTGGAGAGCTCCAATAATCTCCTGTTCTCCCAAGAACTACGAGTTTGGAGACAGAGGTGAAAACTGAACACTATCTTAGCACAAAGTAGCGTGGCTGTAAGGCCAGCAGTGAGAGAGCTGGAGTCATACACCTCAAATACTGCACACAAGAACAGCCCACCTTCCACACACTCCCAACATCCCAACACACCGGCTGCTCCTTCTCTATCTCCTCCCACAGGCTAAATTAACAGCTGAAAGACTGTTCAAGGTATTTTAGGAGTAACAGTTGAAGAAAAAAGTACCATGTAAAAAGGAAGTGAACAAATGACTCATCCCCACACTAAATTCACAGTATCAAACTCTAAATGGAACACACACCTAACCTTTTCTCATGTCAAAAATGAAGTTACATGTTAAAACTACAGATGAAATACTAAGTGGCTTGAGAAACTGAAGCACAACTATTAATTTAGTTCAAAAAATTAAACTTGGCTGTTTAGAAGAATATAAAGTAAAATAGATGGTTTATATTATTCAATCACAGTTTAAAAAAAAAAACGTAACAGATTATGGAACATTTATGGTCAAACAAAGAATAGTTCAAAGAATGAAAAGTGATCAGAACAAAAATCATACCCTACACCATTATGTATGGGATACATTGCAAATCTGTTATGCTTTTGCCAATTTTACCTTCCACATGGAGCCCTTCTATGGTCCATGCTCATCGGCTCACCAATGGCATACACTCAAAGGATTCCTCTTTACTGGTAGTAACTATCTCAGGACCTGATTCTATGAGCTATGATTTGGTGCTTGCAGCATCTTCAGCACTGTGTGTGAAAATGAAGGCAGGATTTTTGAATATTTTTCTTTGATGTAACAGATAAGCAGGACTTTTGAAAGAGGAGCAGCACATTTTAGAAACAGAATAATGAACAAAAAAAACCCAAAGATGCTGCTTTATGTTAAGCTAAAAAAAAAAAGAAAAACCAACAACAAAAACTCAAAACAAAAACCTGTACCAGACCATCTGTAAGACATATAACATTTTATACTATCAAAATATACAGCAATTCAGTTAAAGTATCAAGAAACAGGATACACTGACTGCTATATCAATAAAATAGTATTTGCTGTACTGTTAACATTTAATTGGTGCACATGCTTGTTCAGTTATAAAACATACTGATCTCAAACTCCACAATCTGTTTTCCTACCGTGTCAAGTATGAATAAGCAAACTAAGTTATCTAAAGATTCCACTAACACACTATAACTGTAAGACAAGTTATTGAGTTCAGTGATAACAACAAGAATCATATTCTTTACATTAGGTCTGATGGGTTTAAGTGGGAATAGTGCCCTAGTATAAAAAAACATTTGTGAAGGCTGTTGACATTTCTAACCGAAGTAATTCCTGCATATTTTAAAGGTTTTGATTCTTTAATTGCAACAATTAGCTATTGGAGGAAAAATAACAAAAATTACTTATTCTGATCAAGTTCAATTACTGCAATCTAATAATCTTTTTAAAAAATAAAACAAAAAACAAGAAAAAAGAAAAAATACATATTTACCTAGAAATATAAACAGTTGTTTAAAAACTTAAGACTTTCCACTGAAATGGAACCGTGAGTAACAATGCATTTGGGGAAGCAGCAGATTGCTTTTCAATACACAACCACAAAGATCTCACAGGGACAACATTAATGTACTGAAATATATTAATTTATATACTTCCTTAGGTTGTGCTTACCTGTTGCTTTTTTGCAGCAGAACCTAAGGTGGAAGGTCTGGGAAGGCACTGTGAAGTATAAATAATTGCACTGTTTGCAATTAATAAAGATTTTATACCTTAAATGAATCAAAATCAACAGCCTCCATTTTGTGACTGATAAAGAATCCAGTGAATTTAATTTTTGCTCAGTTTAGTACATAATAAATGCACCATTCTGTAAGGTTATCTACAAAATACCATGCAAAATACCTGAACTATTAAACTTAATGCCCTACACTAAAGATAGCAAATACTGTCCTAGCCTTTTGCAAGCTACCAGCATAATTCCTACTTTTAAAAGGGATAAAAATAATTCCTTCTATTTCTACAGCACAATACATACATTGCTGATTACCTGAATAAACTACTTCAGTTTTCAAGCCTTAACTTTTACTTCTCTGTGCAGCCACCCTAAAAAAATTTATTCTCAAAGCAACAACATGGTGTTCCAAAAAAATAAAGCAATTAACAGTTACAGAATTATTTAAAACATACCTACATCACTACATATCCACAAACTATCTGAAGACAAAGACAACTTCTGTCTAACAAGTGGTTCCAAAGACTTCAATGTTACGATATGCAAACTTTAAAACACTGAATGACAGCTGTCTCAGGAGTACTAATGAAAAAAACTATTACTCAGATAAACAGAAACATGATTTGCTTTAGCTATTGCTAAAAGTTTCAGGAATACTTACCCACAAAGCTCATATTATGTGTATGTATATATATATATATATATATATAAGCAAACCTATGGTTCTGAATTAAGAAGCAATTATGATTTCCTAAGATATCAGCACTGTATTCCAACATAATAGTCACACAAGTACGGCATTTGCATTATGTGGAACATTGACAAAAAGATACTGTTGCAGTTCATCAATTTGTCATTCTGATGTACTTACAGTGCAATGCTCCTTGAAGGAACAATCAAGGATGATACACAGCACAGTCCTCCTCACCCCTATAGAGCTAGTTCTATACTGGCTGGATCAAACCTGCACTTCAACAGACAATGGCAAGACAGACTGTAGTGCATGTCATCTAACAGATGCAAAGAGCAAACATAGGATTTCAAGAGAATCAGCTTTTCAGTATGAGCATTAGAGCAATAAGAAGTTTCAAGTATATATAGAAAAATAATCAGTCGATTCAAATACTTGAATATTTACAAAAACAGAAGTTATCTGCTCTGCAGGAAGTTCTCAACCGCTCCCACCACTCAAACAAAACAGCGTTTCAAGGACAGATGCAATTTTTCTAGCTACTATGCAAACCACATTGACTTTCTACACTGCATTTTGAAGTGGACTACTTTAAACTGAAGGCTTAAGCACATTACACTTAAAAGTAAGTTTTATAACTAGTCTGAAAAAATCCATAAAATAGTTATGCAGGAACAGTTCTGAAGTACTCGTTAAAAACAAAAGTTATCTGTTATAGCAGCTGCACAGGTCTGAAACAGTGGTCATGTCTAAAGGAAATTTCACTGTTAATGCAATGGAGTATGCCAAAAGATCACCTTCTTAAACACATGCAGTTTGAATCAAATAGAAAGAAAATTAAGGTATCAAGATTACTGGTGCTAGGCAGCAAAATACAATGAATGAAAGAGATCCTCCATCTACAACTATTCTGCAAGGGGGGAAAAACATGCTAACGACAAGTTTTTAAACTCAACAAGGTTTCACCAGGGGGGGAAAAAAAAACCAACTCATTTGTGTACAGGTACCTTGATTCAGCGTTGCAAATCAATCCTATAGTTCTGCAATACCCACATATCCAACTTACCGACACAGGAGGTTTCATATTATTTATTGTAAAGCACAAAACAGGCATTTTTAAAAGTGATAAAGTATACATTGAAAAAGTACATTTATATCACAAAGCATTGACCACATAATTGCAAATACATTTGCTGGAATGTGTACATCTACACTAATACTAAAAACAAACCATTTTTTTTTCATTTCTACACAGAAATATTACCTCCTATCAGTAGTGATAGATATTTTGTACATTTTCAAAAACACTATTTTTTTTTTAACCAAAATTAAGATCTTCATCAAGGCGTCTGCATCCATACATTTAACAAAGGTTTTTTCCCCCACACAATGAAGCAAATACTGTATTGTCCACTTCTTATTATTGGCCCTGTGCAGAAGAAATACATAAGAGATACACAAAAAGTTAAAGAAAATCCTTTAAATCGAGCTAACTCAGGAGTGAAGCCTTTAAGAAAGAAAAATTGGTTAATGTAAATGGTGGTGGCTTCTTGCATGGTTTTCAAAACCCTGGGAGGAGAAAGTTGTTCTTTTTTTTTTTTTTTTTAAAAAAAAA